TTCGAAGATAGGTGCATGATTTGAGATGGAATTGGTTAAATACGAAAATCTCACTCTATGAATTTATTTTAGAAACAAAGTGATTTCATGAACAAATACACATTAACAAATCAATATCCCAGATTCATCATTAGCCACTCTTTTGTGTCTTAGCACTTTCCGCGCTCTGGAATGAAATCCTCAAATATTTTTTTGTGGATCGCATTATCATCGCTTTTCAAGGTCTAGCAATAGTCGGCAAGCATGTGGAGTTTTGACTTCCTATCATACCACTTCTCCATAGCGGCTATGTCCTGGTGGTATCGTTCGCCATGTTCTTCGCAAGTTTTTTGTTAACCCCTTTCTACTCAATCCATCAAAATGAGGTAGAGTCCATCAGACGAACTGGATTTTCATTAATACGTGGTTTTTTCTTCGGAAAAACCACAGTAGAAATAAAATAGTGTAAAAAAATATATAAAAAAACAAGCTTTTATTTAACATGTATAATCAAAGTAATAAAATATAGTAGTGTAACAAAAGACTTTTTAGCATGAAATTTTTTTCAAAACTGCACTAGAATGAATAAAATAAAATAAGTTAAGGTCTCGTTGAAGTTATTAAAAGCCATTTAGTGAAAGGAGTTACTCAAACTCTAATGAAAATTACTAACAATTTGTAATAATTTGCTTCGTTTTTAAAAAAGTTTGTCGCGCGAATAGCAAACCGGCATTTAAATATCTGCATACATACATATACATACCTAACCAATTATGCATGTATGCTGAATTCGCCGACAAGCTTTTTTAAAAACGAAGTAAATTAGTATAAATTGTTAGTAATTTTCATTAGAGTTTGAATAACTCCTTTTACGAAATGGCTTTTAGTAAGTTTAACGAGACCTTAACTTATTTTATTTTATTAATTTTAGTGCAGTTTTGAAAAAATTTTCTTGCTAAAAAATCTTTTGTTACACTACTTTATTTTATTCCTTTGATTGTACATGTTAAATGAAAGCTTGTTTTTTAAAATATTTTTTTTTTACATGATTTTATTTTGAACTTTTTAGTTTAATTTTATATATTTAGGATTCACTCTTCATTTATGAGCATAGTACATTTTATATAAGCGGCGTATAGAAATAACACAAGGTTAACACCTAATTAATTCAAAACAATTTGTACGAAATTAGGGAATTTGTTAACATGGTTTTATTTTTAAACTTTTAAATATTACATCTCAATCTATGCATATCTGTCAATGCCTCATTGTTACAAGGAGTTTTTCCGGTGAGTTTTGAGCTATCGAGTTCTTCAATAAGAAGGCCATCTAAGGATTTTACTCTGCTTAAAGCAACGTACACTTGTCCTGCAGCGAAAATTTTGTTTCCCAAATAAACAGCGGCAAGTTCAACAGTGCTACCCTGCATTTTGTGCACAGTGAATGACCAGCATAGTACGATTGGTAACATTCTCCGTTCTGCCGTACCGTAACTATATTTAGCTGGGAACTGTATCTATTTTGGTTTGATGATATGCCTGCGTTCAAACACGACTAACCTTGTCCATAACTTTTATTTACATATATTCTGAGAAAACAAAGTTTGGTGTTAGATGTGCCGTCGTAAACTCGCGAAAAAAAATTAATCAAATAAAAATAAAATAGGTGAATAAAGGAGTAAAGGTAAGAATAATGAACAAGCGAACTTTTCAAAACAAAATAGACGATATGGACGAAAAAATAATGGAAAATCAAAGACAGGTTGAAAGCCGCTTGGATGTAATTGATCACCGCATTGATGCTATGGAAAAGGTTTTGTGTGAAAATGTGGGTTAAATAAATAAATAATGGATTTGCAAGTAATATTTTATTCCATTTCAGATGGCTAACAGAAACGAGACAATGGCTCAAAAGCGCCTGATGCGCGAGTGTAAAGTAATTTTGGCGAAGGTGCAGCAGTCAGTTATAAAAATGACTGGCGACATCGTTGATGAAGGAATAGTGGAAGTTGCTAGCGTATTTCCGCTTTTCACCATAGATGCTGCAATGGAAGTGGAGGAAAAGCTGAATGAGCACGAATACGCCACTGCAATGGTAACTTTAACATTCAAATCCTGGTCGAAACTAAGTACCTATTTTTTAAAATATAAAACGCACATACATACACTGAAGAGCACTTCTGGAGAGGTGGACCCTGTTATGCGCAAATTATTTATGTATATATATATATATGTTTGGATATAAATATGTAAGGGGCATAAAGCGCACAAAATAATTAAAAATATGAAAAGTTTGAAAAGATAAGAAAAAAATTTCATTTGAATAGGATACTCGTTTGGTAACACTACCGGTAGGTTTTGCGGTAATAGCTTGGTAAGACTACTGGTAGGTTTTGCGGTAATCGCTTGGTAAGACTACCAGTAGGTTTTGCGGTAATCTTTCGGTAAGACTATCGGTAGTTATTGAGGTATTCACTTCGTACGAGTACTGAACGAGTGAACAATCTATACATGGCTGAGTATGACATACGTGAATGTGGAAAGAGTACAGATACTCAACAAGATTCACGACAAGAAGAGAGAAGCTATCCATAAGGCGACATATTTTACTAGGGTGTTAAAAAAGACAAAAACTCACACGCATAGAAGACTATGGGGTAATTTCTGCACACGGGCCTTAAGAAACTCATATAAACTTTACCCGATGCATAAGGTAACGCTCCTGGAATTCATGGGAGAGTTAGCTAGTAGCTGTCTACCAGGGTATATGTATATCAATACATGAGCAAATATGCCATATGGAGTTACACCGCGCGGTACCATACCGCTGCTGCTTGAGCAAACCTTTATAATGAAAACAGCTCTTATAAAGATTTTATTTTGTTGCTTTAAATAGAAACGTTCTTTATATGTAAAGTCTATCTTAAACTGAAGCATTTTCATCTAAGCTAAGGGCCCGTTGTTGATTTTGAAATTTTAGCAAAAGTCATTATAAACAATTTATAAGATTGAAAACGAAAAACGTGAAGCGCATGCAATACAAAGCATTAGATTTAATTGACAATAGTCAAACTACATAACATAGACCTAAAATTTCTACAGAGAAAGTACAAATTTCAGATCGATTTTAAACGGTCGTTATTCATATATCCACATTCATACATACATATATTACTCTTCATATCAATTCATGTATATTACATGCGCCCCACGCTTTTCAATTTCAATCTCGTAAATGGTTTATAGTGACTTTTGCTAAAATTTCAAAATCAAAAGTTATCTATAAAAATTTAAGTTATTTTTTGAATTTTGTCATTTTGAGCAAATAATACCGATTATTTCTACTTTTTATTTTTTTAAGGCAAAAATAAAAGTTAAAATTTGCCTTTAATTTTTTTGAGCAGAAAATAATCGGTAATTGTTGACTTTTATTTTTTCAGACAAAAATAAAATTCAAAGTTAAAAACCAAGTATTCGAGAGCTGTGTATATTCGAATGTGATAGTTTTGAAGCTCCTACATGGATTTTAATAACCCCTATACCCAAATACCAGCGTTCCCACTGGGAAAATAGGTAAGCACCTTGCGAGGTAAGCCATGTTTGCTTTCAGTTTTTAGTACCAAAATTGTCATCATGGCCAATGTCATCTACTAGTAAAGGGCAAAATGAACACCTCCGAAGACACATTACGTTGTCAGTTGCAAAATAACGTGCAGCCGAAGTTATCTCCAAGCGCCGAACTACTCCGAGCGACTTCTCTGCATTACACGTAACTTACTTTGTAAAGCGGCTCAGAAGTATGTCTGATACCAAATGTACATTCTAAATTCCTAATTACATAAGGCGGCCATGCCTTTGTAAAAGTAAGGGACGTTCGGCAGGGAAATGGCAGAGCTGGGTCGTAATGATTCCTTTAGGAATTAAATTACTCCCAATTACAAATTACAAGGAATTGTAATTAGGAATCAATTCCTTCAGTCCACTGCAAAGGAATCAATTACTTTCTCAATTCCTTGAAGTAATTTCAAATGTAATTGTCTTTTTTTAACTCCATTACAAGGAATTTCATATTGTAATTGGAATAAATTACGTGCTAGTAATGAAAAAAATGGTGCACGTATTGAAATAATATTTAAAGATATCTAATATTGGCCGCTGGGGTGTAGTGGTAAGCAGTGCGCGCTTCCACTCCGCAACCCCTGAGTTCAAGCCCTGGTCAAAGCAACATCGCAAAAAAATATAGAAAAAAGGTTTTTTCTTAACAGCGGTCGTCCCTCGGCAGGCAATGGCAGACCTCCGAGTGTATTTCTGCCATGAAAAACAGCTTCTCATAAAAATACAACCGCCGTTCGGAGTCGGCGTAAAACTGTAGGTCCCTCCGCTTCGTGTGACAACATCAAGGCGCACGCCACAAATCGGAGGAGAAGCTCGACCAAACACTAACATATGTGTAAGCGCCAATCTATTATTATTATTATTAATATTGGTGTCAAACGAAATGAAGTTAGGTGAGCTTCTGCTATATTTAATTAAAAAGTTTATAACTATGAACGGTAAGTAATGTATTAATGATATCCAATTATATATAAAACGAAAAGGAAAAGAAGTGATGTTTTATTTTACAAAGATATTTTGTTCGAGGGTTGCCACTAAGTTAAAAATTTACTGAAAGTAAACGATAAATGATCACTAAATACATATATATATTACGATACATACAATTTTTTGGAAAAATAAAAAATATATAGGTTACATACATATAGAAGTAAGAATTGTTCGAAGGTTGCCACTTAGTTAAAAATTTACTGAACGTAAACGATAATTGATAATTAAATACTTATTTATATTAACATACATACAAGTTTTTGGAAAAAATAAAAAATAAACGTACACTTGCGATCAGCTAATTAAGTCATCAACATTTTTAACAATTTTGATTATTTTTCTTTTGCTTATTTAATGTTTATTATTTTTCCATAAAAGTCTAGCTCATTATATACCAAACACCATATAAATCCACACTTCAAACCAGGTACAAAGTTTCAGCTAAATTTTCAACTTTTTATTCGGAGTTTTTTTGAGTATGCATATAAATAAGTGGTAACTCTATTAAAAACACCAACATATTAATTTAGTCTCAAACCCTGAACACTTTAGGCCCTTGGGTTTGATATTGCCGTTAGCTTACCACTTCACAACACTGGTTCCACTCGATTCAAGAAAAATAACACACAGTATTTTTATTTTTTTCTAAATGGAATTTACAAATCACGGATGGTTTTATTTTGGGAAAAAGTTCGACTCGTATAGGATGCGTCCGTACGGGCTCACAAACGAAAGATTCTGCCTATCTTCAAATTCAAAGTAAGTTGACATTTGGAGTGCATATTTGTGTGTGTGTGTGTGTGTGTGTGTGTGTACAATGGTGGTGGGTATACAGAGTGGTGTATAAGGAGAGTTAAATGTTGATGTTCTGTTTACAAATGTTGCGGAAGCGTGTGTGAATGTGTAGTGGATGTGGGCAACATCTGCCGGCGTCGATCGGTGGTGCAGCGCGCGAGCGGAAGTCCGGGGTAGCCTTCGCGGAAGGGCTCATTTGGCCATCCCGGCCCTCCTAGGCGAATACTAGCCTAGCAACCGCTGCAAGTGTTGAAGGGTCTGGACCACGTTACTAAGGCCAGTTACTCGGCGATGATGCGGGCCCGATTGTCGCCGACGGGAGATGGCGGGGGAGGCGGGGGGGCGACGATAGGGTGACTGCTGTTAGTGGGTGCGATTTCGGTTGGTGTTAGGATACCGACGTTGCACTCCCGGCTCCCGTTGCTGCCCCCGATGATCACCGCGCCTGGTCGGAGACACATTGTCTCGCCTTACGTTGCGATGCAACAGCGTGTGGTGTTGCCGAATACAGATTTGGCACCCGTCCTAGGTGTACTCCCTTGTGGCATGAGCGAGCGCCAGGCAATTCAGGCAATGCCCATGCGCTCGGGCCACCTGTTGCCGTTGCTTTGGAGACATGCCTCGGAAAATAGGGCAAATCCGGAGTGGGTGCGGACGGCGGCATAAGCCGCAGCGAATGCCAGGTGGATTACGGGGTCCCGCAGAGAACTGCCCTTGCTGGCCTTCTTCCATCTGATTGGTTACCGTCCTTGGGTTGTGCATGCGGGCCGTTGCAACTGGTGGGGCCGCAGGCTGTGGCACGTTGGCGCGTGGCACCGCCCTTGGTGGTGCTGAGGCCCTCGGTACAGTTACCGCGGATCTGACCGCCGGAACAGGAGTGGAGGGGGATGATGTGGGCATTTCAACGTCCATTTCTATCGGAAGAAATCGCGACTTTAATTTTGGGTAGAAACTTTAGATGGCGGTTAGTGGCCGATTAGTGTGTTAATCGGGTAAATATTCTTATTTACGTTAGTTGAGTTGCGTGGTTTTCGTTTTATTTGCGGTTTTAGGTGTGTCGGAATTACGATTATTACGTTTCATGGATTATTGGCGTTTTCGGTCGGTAAAAGGCAAAGTTTTACGAGCGGTCGAGTTAGTGTACCGTTTTGTGTGCGCAAATCTACGACTCGTATGTGACCATTGGAGCCACGATGTAATTTTTCGATTCTTGCGAGGCTCCACTCGGTGGGGGGAAGACACTCATCTAAGAAAATGCCCAGGGGTGAGGGCAGTGAAATCGGAGGGATCTTTCGAGAGCGCAGAGAGGGGCCGTGAGTTAAGAACGGCTTCTATTCGGGTTAATAATGTTGCAAATTCTTCAAAGCTAAATTTGTGTGTGCCAGCGACTTTTTTAAAATGTGTTTTGAAGCTTTTTACAGCTGATTCCCATAGACCACCCATATGTGGGGCACTTGGTGGGATAAATTGCCAATCAATGCCTTGGGGTGCGTATTTTTTAACGATTTCAGGCGAGACTTCCTCTATAAATTTTAAAAATTGTTTTTCTGTGGCTCTTTTGGCCCCGACGAAGGTTTTTCCATTGTCGCTCATTATTTTGGATGGAAATCCTCGCCGTCCGACGAAGCGAGCAAATGCCGCGAGAAAGGCCGCAGTTGTCAGATCAGAACATAGCTCGAGGTGTACTGCCTTTGTCGTAAAGCATACAAAGACAGCCACATAACCCTTCGTATAGGTTGAAGTCCTTAACATGGAAACCTTTATCTGGAAAGGCCCAGCAAAGTCAACACCAGTGGTAGTGAAGGGCAGAGCGAAAGGGCAGCGTTCAGGTGGAAGAGCTGCCATGATCTGCGTGCGCATCTTCTGCTTATGTATTATGCAGACTTTACACATAAATGTGCATTTTTTGATCTGTGGCTTTAGTCGTGGCATATAAAATTCTTGTCGGACCATTTGTTGCATGAGGCGATGTTCGGCATGTATCATTAATAAATGGAAAAATCTGAGGTATAGTATTGCAAAGGGGGATTTCTCTGGTATTATTATGGGGTGGCGTTCGTTATAGGTGAGGCTGGAGTTCGCTAGCCTTCCATTAGCACGAAGCAGACCTTTCGTGTCTAAAAATGGATTGAGTACTAAGATTTGACTATTTTTGTCAATTGGTTTTGATTCTCTTAGCATTAACATTTCGCTGCTGAAATAGGAGTGTATGCAACAAGGGAAACCTTTGCTTTTTCTAAGTCTTGATGCGTTAACATGTTATCTGGGGAATTCGGTGTTTTCTTCACCTTATTTTTGAGGCGCTCTACGAATTTGAACATATAGGCGACTACCCTTAGGGCACGGGGAAACAAAGAAATTCGTTCTAGGATGTCAGTGTCATCCAATATTGTGTGAAAGGTTTCAACTTTTCGACTTTCTGGGGCAATTATGTTGCGTATGGGGGATTGTGGCCAGAATTGTTGTGATTCTATTAGCCAGCTGGGGCCGTTCCACCAGAGTGAGGTGGTGGCGAGGTGCAGGGGTTTGCAACCTCTTGTGCCAAGATCGGCGGGGTTATCAGCACTGGCTACATGTCGCCAAGTTGCTGGCCCAACTAAATAAAGTATTTGGGCTGTGCGATTGGAAACGTATGTTTTCCATGAGTGGGGTGGTTTTTCTAACCAAGCTAAGACGATCTCTGAGTCTGACCATAGATATAATTTCTGATTGGTTATGTTTAAATGCGTTTGCACAGTTGACGCTAATTTTGCGAGTAGAAGCGCGCCACACAGTTCAAGTCGTGGTAGACTTAGTGTTTTGAGAGGTGCCACTTTGGCCTTTGCTACTAACAAATGGCTTGAAATTGTGCTGTTAATTTGGGTGCGCACATATATAGGTGCGCAATATGCCTTTTCAGAGGCGTCGCAGAAGCCATGCAGTTCTACTTGGTATTCGGGGGAGTAATTTACCTATCTAGGGATTTGTATCTCTGCAATAGCGTGCAAGTTGTTAACAAATCGGGACCATTTTACCAAGCGAAGTGGTTTCACTTGCTCGTCCCATTCGGTTCCGTCTAGCCATAATTCTTGTATCAGGATTTTCGCTTGTATCATAATTGGCGAAAGCCATCCTGCGGGGTCAAAAACTTTCGCTACAGTCGACAGAATTTGTCTTTTAGTTATTGCAGATTGAGCAGATATCGACTCAAGAGTATATGAGAATTTATCTGAGATCGCATTCCATTGTATGCCTAGGGTTTTTGTTGTACTTTCCTTTTCGAATATTAGGAAGTTTGAATCTAATAAATTTTCTTTATTTATATCTTTTAGGATTTCGGGGTGATTGGCGGTTATCTTTCTTAGGGGGAACCCTGCTGAGTTGAGGGCTTGTATCACTTGTGATAGTACTTCATACGCTTTTGGTAAGCTGTGGCTTCCAGACAGGATATCATCCACATATGTTTATGTTTTTAATACAGGGGTTGCTAGGGGAAACTTTTCTTTTATATCGTTTGCCAATTCATGAAGTGTTCGAATGGCAAGGAAGGGGGCGCGATTTATGCCAAATGTCACCGTTTTAAGTTTATAGTCACATATTGGACTATTTAGTGAATTTCGAAATATAATGCGCTGAAAGTCTTGATCGTCTTTATGTAGGAGTATTTGTCGATAAATTTTTTCGACGTCTCCGTTAAATACGTATTTGAACATACGCCACTTTAAAATCAGAAGCATTAAATCGGGTTGTAATGTGGGTCCTGTGTACAAAATGTCATTTAAGGAATTGCCCGAACTTGTACATTTCGAGGCGTTGGTTGTTTTTTTGTCTGGTTTTACAACCGCATAATGGGGTAAGTAAAATGAGGTGTATTTACCTTTGGTTATGTTCTCATATGGATTTACTTTTTCCATATGATCTGAATCGAGATATTCTTCCACCACCATCGTATGCTGATTTAAGCTGGCGTTTTTTAAGTAGGTTTGTTTCCATACTTAAAAACTGCTGAAGCGCAGAGGTTCGGGAGCGACCTAGGGCGAGTGTGTCTGGGAATTCTGGCTTAAATGGAAGTCGTACTACATATCGACCAGTTTGTGCTCGCGTTGTTGTGGCTTTGTAGTAATCTTCGCAAGCTTTATCTTCTGGGGTAGTAACTTGTATGGGGGGGAGTTCTTCTAAATCCCAAAATCTTTTTAATTGAGAATTGAGGTATTCGTTTGAAATATCTTCAACTTGAGTTGTGAATACCGATATTTTTTCACTTACTTGCCCGCGTAGTATCCATCCAAAGGTGGTATTTTGGGCTAACAGGGTATTTGAAATTTTTTCAATGCCTTCTAGCATTATTTGTGGTATTAGGTCGCTGCCTAATAGGATATCAACTTGCGCGGGGGTGTGGCAGTTGGGATCCGCTAATTTGAGGTGGGCGAATTTTTGACGATCTTTGTCGTTTATTTTATAGCTTGGAAGCATATTTGTTAGTTGCGGCAGAACTATAGCTTGTGCTTTTATTCTTACATCCGCATTGGGGGAAATCAGGGTTGATGAGCAGATTTTATTAGAGTTTTGTATTACTCTTCCACCCATTCCCGAAATTTCAAAGTTTGAGTTTGTAGTAGGGAGTTTTAATCGGTTTTGTGCTTTTGATGAGATAAACGATCTTTGTGAGCCTTGATCGATTAGAGCTCTAAGCTTAAATAATTCTCCTCGATGTTCAATCGAGACAATCGCGGTTGGCAGTAAAATTTTGCTTTCATTTTTAGAATGAAGCGCTTGTATATTTGCTGTTTTTGAACAGCATGGTTTCTCGGGTTGGATTTCGAGATTTTCGGGGTTTTCGGGTCTAGCTGTTGCAACTAGCCCTGTGGCTCTTTGAGAGTTAGAGCTATTTTGGGGGGGGGGGGGTAAAATTATTAATATGGAGCATCGAGTGATGCCGCTTTTGCCACAATTTTGTACACAATTGAATTTACTTTCACAGTCCTTTTGCATGTGAGAGTGTGAGAAGCAATTTGTGCACAGTCTATTGTTTCTGACGACATTATATCTTTCGGTCGTCGAAAGTTTTTTAAACTTCTCGCAAGATCTTAATGAGTGACCTCCTTTACAAAATTCGCATGACGTATGTTTATTTTCGTTCATAAATGTTTTCGATCTATTGAAGCTTCTATTATGTGAATTGTGATTGCTGGCTTGGGGTTTTATGAAGCTTCTATGTAGATCATTTTGTGCATTTTTGGCTTTTGTAATTTTTGTATCTACCCTGTCTGCGATTTCGTACTGGTTAGTTAGAAAATCTTTCATTTCTTGCCACGTCGGGCATTTTTTACGGGATGAGAGCGATTGCACCCATAAAAGTAACGCTTTTTCTGGTAAAGTTGCGGCGCAAATATTTACCAGAATAGGGTCCTAGTTATCTGTGGGAATATTTTGAGTGGATAAGACTGATAGACAGTTTGAGACAGTGTACTGTAATTTAATAAACTCTTCACTCGTTTCTTTTTGAATTTTTGGTAGATTCATTAAAATCGTTACTTGTTTATCAACCAGTACTCTTTCGTTTTCATATCTTTCTTTTAATGCTTCCTAAGCCAGATTGAAATTATCGTCATTTAATGCGAATTGTTTCACTATACTGCCGGCTTGACCTTTAGTCTTGTACCTGAGGTGGTACAGTTTTTGTACTTGTGACAATTTGGGTGATTTATGTATGCGGCTTTAAACATGTCCCGGAAGGACGGCCATTGTTAATAACCCCCATGGAAAGTTTCCCTGTCACATGCTGGCACTTTGAGATATATGCCGGAGCTTTGCTCTTGAATTTGGCTTACTTCTACTCTCGGGGGTGGAGTAGGTGCGCTAACTGGGTTTAATAACTTAAGCTGATCGGAGATCATAGCTTTTGTCTCTTCATATTGGTCAAGGCAGTTTTCGTATTTAGCGGTAGCCGAAGCTTTGAAATTCTCGGGTAAATCGGAATCATCCGTTTCTATAATTGTGTCATATGCCGCTTGGAGGCAGAAATGAATCTTGCGCCTGAGAAATCTTTTTTTTTTTTCTGTTTTGCACCCTGCTTCAAGCGTGTAGCTTCTGCAGGTGTGCCTTGAGGTTTGTCCTCATCAACCATTGTTGGTACTTTTAAAGTGGTTGGGGTTTTGCCTATTTGCTCCTTTACTGGAGTTTTACCAGAAGGCATTTATGTATGCGAGAATATACAGATTTTTTTTTCTCTGTGTATTTTAGTAACCGCGAATAATATAAGTGCCCGGTCAGTCGATCGAACCGCGATATTCTCTTTCGAGTTTTATTGTTTACGTATGTGTATCTCTGTACCAATATATTTTTTTTTCTGATTAATATTAATTTTAGTATTTGTTTTCGATTGGGTGTAAAAACGTTTTCTTGAAATTATCGTAATTAAAATCTTTATATTGAGTATTCTTAATTTTACCGCGCTTATTAATATTTTTCCTTTACGTGTGCCGTACAAGGTATATGCACTACTGGGTTAGTAGGTATGGGAGTATATATGTATGTGTGTATGTTAACGTTAGCATGCAATGATACAAATTATTAACATATGTATGTTAAGCGAGGGCGGCTAATACTGGTTAGTGTGTATGTCACTATGTTTTTGACGAAGGACGGGAGAAAGAGATAATTTGTGATTGCAATTTCGTTGCTTTGTTTTGATGTATGCACGTTTGTATATACGACTAATTTGGGAGTAAAGAACTTTTTAGCTAAGTTAATTGGGCAGTGAGTTTGCTGATGACCGTATGTACATAAGTTTGTTTATGTGTAATTGGGTGCAGATTAGGAACTAAATAGCGTTTGTTTAATTGTTTACATCCACGTATGTACGTATGTATATTACTTCGTGGTACAGATGCTGGGAGGCCAGAAATAAAATATGCAATTGTTTGGTATTATATTTGGGTGTTTTTGATATTTGTTATTTATGGGTTTTAGAAGCTGTAATAGAATCTGTTTACATACATAAATATGCAGTATTTACTCCTACTTCTTTTTCTACTTTGTTTCGCCAATAAGTTGAATCTTTTTTCGCGCAAAATTTTTTGTTGCGTTGATATTGTTCTGGCTTTTATTTCTGCTGCTTATTTTGTATGCAATCCTGCTTTTGCTTCATATGAGTACAAGCAAAGGGGGTATTGCCGGGCAATTATTGCAAGTAGATACTTGAATTTTTCATGTTTCTGGCTTTGGTGTGTTACTAAACACGAAAAATAAGCTAAAGCAGAAATTTAAGGTTATTTTTCATGCGTATATATGCATACGGATTTTTTATTTATTTTTGTTCAAACAGTTTTTTGGAACAGTAAAGTTTTTACCGATATGTATATTTATGTATGTAAATATGTATATATATTTTCTCAAAATTTCAGCAAATATCGGTTTTTTTTTTATATTTGTAATATCTCAATTTATTGGTTCGATACAACTCACTTTGGCGGTAGGAGGCATATGGGTATAATTATGGCCAATTATTTTCGGATATAGAGTCCAAGCTCCTGATCCTGCTACTTCCTCCTCGTAGCGTGTTTCCCTCGTTGAGTCTCCCTGCGATCCAGTGCTTCCTTCTATAGTGTCGTTGTTGGTGTTTAGTTTTGTTAATTTGTTGGTTTGGTTTTACGTAGGATTATTTCGCGTCCGATTTTGGGTATTTGGTTAAGGTCATTAATTGGATTTGAACTGTTTATATTTTTGTGTGCTTTTTACGCGGCGCGCCCGAATTATTTGGATATCTGTATGTGACTTTTTATACTGTGAGTAAGTATGTACGTAAACTTGTCTGCTCTGATTGTGGTAAGTCTCACTTATTACACTTAAAATGGCATAACTTGTTTTTTCAGTTTTCACTTAATTAGTTAAGTATGCACCAGTGATGCCAGATTGTGGGTAATTTGCCTATTTGAGGGATATTTTGCAACAAAACTTATTAAAAGGGAAAAAAGGGACATTTCAAATAAATAAGGGATTTTATTTTGATGCAGTTATTGTTGCATAATTGATCCAAATTTAAGAATATTCGACATTCTTACGCAATTAATCTTTCTGAAGATGTGATGTGGAATGAAATGGTATATAATTGTTA